CTAGCCAATTTTGTAGCAATAATGTTCAAATCCTCTTTGTGGAAAACAGTAAAATGTTGTTTTTGCAGCAACCAAGTCTGACACACTTTAAGAACTTTTACCCAGGAAGCTGACATGGCCAAGAATACTAAGAAAGAGCAGAGGGAAACATTTGTAATCTAAAGAAGCTTCTTGGATGAAAAGCGAAATGTCTTCAAAGAAAAACAAGGAAGTCCAGTTACCTCATGAAAAAGCATCTTTGGGAAAACTATGACCTGGATGACTGAGAATCACCATAGAGATATTGCTCCACTGACTTAGTAGCTGCATCAATCCTTCCATGTCCCTGCCCAATTGTACTAGCTTGTTCTATGAGTTCCTTCAATACATTGCTGTTCTTTCACAGCATGAGAAACAAAACCTGTATTTATTTAATAAAGTACAAAGCAATTTAAATGTTTTTGTAAAGATGTTAAATTGCATTTAAAAATGCATTTAGCACTTCCTGCTTAAGAAAATGATAACTGCATTAAATACTGTAAGCCTGTGTGCCTTATTTATATTCTCTTCTATCGTATGGACCACAATGAAAGAGGCAACAGTTTTAACTAGGAAGCTATACATATATTTAAAATACTGCTCTACAATTATAAATGGGGAAAGGCCCACCACTATCAAAGCAGCAGATGTTCCTCTAATTGAAGTCAAGAAATTCCAGTCAATATTTTAAAACTTCAGGCAGTCTAATCTTTGTTTAGAAATCATGGCATTAAAACGATAAAACAAATATCAATGTACTTTGATCCTATATTTTTTCATGCGTACACTGAATATTAATTCATTGCTGTTATTTTCACAATCTGTGAAATCTGGTTGTTTAATTCCCTCTATGCTGGTTCCCATGCACTTGTGTAATAACTAAGATTGAAATGTGAAACATGCCTACAAAGAAGTAAGCCTCATCCAACACAGGAGGTCTTGCTTTCTCAAGGCATGGAAGCCTAAAGGGGAAATATTTTCCAGTTTTTGCCTGCTCTTCACATTTCTGCAATTCAAAAGTATAATTCAAATTAAATCCATTCATTTATCAATAAAGGAGAACATTTGTAACTCAGGGCTGAAATGAGGGGTCTTTGATGCTCTCTGAGCTTGCTTGTTTTCTTGCAGACGTTTCATTACCCAAAGTAGGTAACACTGATAATGTTACCTAGTTTGGGTAGTGAAACATCTGCAAGAAAACAAGCACGCTCAGAGAACACCAAGGACACCCCTCCCCCTTCACTTATTATTAGCATGAATAAGATTCTAAATAATTGTACCTCAGCTGCCTACAATCTTCTTTTGCTTTATACAGATTTGGACACTTACTAATACCCTTGGTACAGACTCTGCAGATCTCACCCATCAATTACACACAAGTGGACTTTCCCTATGCATCCACTTGACTAGGGACTTTTTTTTTTTTTTTGCTATTTACAAAGCACTTATTTTGAAATGTAAAAGTCATCCCTTCATCCAGTCCTTCTTTGCCTTTCCTTGTGTGAGCACTGTTTATACTTTTTTTTTCTTCACTCCCAACTCTTTTAAGCACTGTGACTGAATGCTATGTTTCATTTTGTTTTTAACCATTTAATCATGTCCAATTCTTGGTGACTTTATAGGCAAGTGCTCTCCATACTACCCTGTCAAACATAGCTTCTCTCAATTGTTGTATGATCAACTTTGCATCAGAATTGATGTTATCAAGCCAGCATGTTGCCTCTTCTTCTTTGTCCACTAACCATTCTTAGCATCATTGCCTTCTCCAATGAATTTGCAAGCCTAACATGGCCAAAGTAAATCAAATGTAGTCTTATGATTTTATCTTCCAGTGATGTGTCTGGGTTTTATACAATTTAACACCTCTCTGTTAGTTACTCTAGCTGTCCATGGTATACGCCAGCACTACAGTTCAAAGGCATCAATTCTTCTTCAATGAGCCATTCTCAGTGTCCAACTCTAATAATGCTATATTTATTGCAAATATGGGTGGTTAAGCCTGTTAACTGAGTTGAGCTGAAAGAAAGCAACTGGCCCAAAGTCACCCACCTGGTTTTCTTGCCTAAGTCAGGACTAGAATTCATGGTCTCCTGGTTTCTAGGTCAACACCTTAACCACTATACCAAACTGAGTCTCTACATTGAAAACCATATAAAACAGATTAAATAATATACGAAGTATAAATATGGTAGCTTTGAGCTATATGAGCCAAAGCACAGGTCACACACACTTTAAAATGTATGTGGTAATAACTGGAGTTAATTTTGCAAAAAAAAGGGAGAATTATAGGGAGTTCCTGTACATGTGTTTTTCTATTAAACATGTGGCCTGGTTAAGCCTCATTTTTCTAAAAGCAAATTTAGTGTAATATATAGTTTGAGCTTAATATACAGTATCTGATTGACCTTAAGGAGACAGCCCATTTTAACCTATTTTATTTATGCATTGATAAATCATTTTAATTCATGTATTGCTTATTATTTAGTACGTAGCTGTAGCTGTGGCATTTTGTACCTATTTCCCTGGTTAATCTGCTTGTTAGGTGTATATGATGGCACTAGAGGGAAACCAGACCATCCCATCTTCCTTTGCAATTAGGAATGCCTGCTTGTCAAGATGATAGATAACAGCCTGGTACCAAGTTACTTAGGAATGTTTGTTAGCTCAGGAATGTTATTGTACGATAAAAGCCTTTGAAGGGACCTTATTCTACTTATGATTTCTTTATGCTTATGATTTTATTATGTTTAAATTTGACATTAGTAGTGTTAGTTTTGAAGGAAATAAAAGTTATTCTTTTATAAAATTGTAGAAAAATAATTGTAGAAATGTAATGCCAATATGTGAGACTGTCTATTTAACACAAATGTAACACTGTAACGCAAATGTAGCAATGCACTGCCAAACGTGTGAGAAGGTTTGTTCAATATTTACTGCCTAAAAATCCTCCCGGACACAGGAACTTACACTTTGAGTAGAAATCCTACTATCAAAGAGGGGGATTTTGACCCTAGGTGAAAATTACAAATAAACAAGATAACAGCAGATGGGTGGAAGAGGTCAGGATGACTTTAAATACAACTTCAAAGTACATTATAAAGTTGAAAGAGCTTCTTAGATGTGACATGCATTGTAGAGGTATAAGATGCAGAGCTTGAAACCAGGCCAGTGTGCTCCTGGAAACCAATCCATAGGGAAGGATCCAGGAGGCTGCGTTTGCAAACGCTTCTCTTCTCTTCTATTCTCTCTTCTTTTTATTCTTTTTATGTTATTCTCCAATAAACCTTTGTTTTGTTAACCAGACTTGTCTTCGTATTGTGAGTATCAAAATTTGGGGTTTTTACATCTTACAGTTTGTAGCCATTTTATATAAATTTGCTTATATGCAAGCAACCTTACAAGTGCCTCATATCAGGAAATTACTTACATAAAAGCAAGTGTTTCATGTATATTGAAAAAGCAATGTCTCATGCCAAATATACAGGAGATTGCTCAGGAGATTGCTTACATGGAAAAAGCAAGGTAAGGTCCAGTGGTCCAAGAAATGAGGAGGAGGGGGAGGGAAATGAGTTATGGTTGGAACCTGGATTGATGTATATGAGTCATCATCTTGGAATTTGTTTTTCTGTGCTTCCTTGCCCCTGGTACAGAGACTTGGATCTCTTTGTTCTGAAAGAGTATAAAAGATGGAAGAAATCTCTTCTGGGTGTGCAGCCACGAAGAGGGAGAAGGTTACCCAACTCTATCTTGGCCAAAATAAAGTTGTTTTCTTTGCTGGAACCTCGGCTCAGGAGTTTCTTTTGGCTCTTTGAAATTTCTGAGTAATGCAGAGAAGTCTGTGAGGTTAAGTGAAAAACCTTACAACTCCAAAAAGAAATATGTGCTCACTTTGAAATTTCCTTCTGGGAAACCTTTTATTTTCAAATAAAAGCCTTACTCCTTTCCACCTATGTGGTGGTTTATCAGGCCTGGACACAGGATGAAAATCCTGAGCTTTCAGGATAACAGCCTCAATAAAGAGACAGACAAAGTGGAATAACTCAGAAGTTCATGTGTATGACTTTACTGTGAGCATATATACTGGGTATTTTCAGCATCATAGTCCTTGTATGGGGGCTATGAGGTCATCTTATAACTATAGACCCCAGTTACTGCAATAGGCACTCTTTTGGGGAAAGATTGTCCTCCCCTCAATCTAAAAGAAGGAAAAGCTGTTGGTGTTGCTGCTGCTTCTTCCCATATCTACTCTGTGTAGAGTGTAGCTGAATAGAGCAGTGTATTGCAACCCTAGCAACTTTAAGATGTGTGAACTCAATTCCCAGAATTTAAGTACTCCCATATTGACTGGAGAATTCTGGGAGTTGAAGTCCACAAATCTTACAGTTGCCAAGATTGAAAAATGCTGGAATAGAATCTGATTTCTTTCATATTTGTATTTTTTTTTCTTGGCTGATACTTGTATCTGTAATTTAGAAAAGGAAGAATAACCAAGTGAATCAGTCTCTGAGACTGTGCTGCCAGTGTTGTAAAAGATGTTCTTCTCAATTCTCTATGTCTCTGGAAGTACAGAACCTAACCCTCACTGTATTTCATTTTCTTTGTTCCTACAGGCATTTTTAATGGAAATAAGGAAAAGGCTGTTTTCCCTTTATTTGCCTTTATAAAGAAAAATAATATATATAATATTTCCCTGGAACATTTTATTCTATGTTACATTGCTTTGAAACATTAAAAGGATATTCAAACAAACTTCTCTACATTTGAGTGGAACAATAAAGCAAAAATATGGACTATAAGAAATTACAAGAGAGTAATTGGAAAAGGGGTGTTGGGCTATTAGTCTCTTGCATTTAACATTTAAAATATATCAATTCAACCTATTTCCACCAAAGACACAGTATCTTGGGACTAACTTTAGCACAATCCAACAAAGTAATTATTAGTGGTGGTGGAATTACTTATATAATTAAAAATACCCCCACCTTGTATTTGGTAACATGTTTTGGGCCTAGTTGCCAAATCCATCAAAATGGCTTTCAAGTGTTCCTCATGAGAGATGTCCCGTACTGGGAAACGTTGCACTGGAGCCACGACTTTAGAGAGGTAGAAGAGAGGAACTTGTAAGTAATAAGCAAGGTACAAGAGAGATGATTTTGTCAAGGTAACATTAACAATGATTTGTTTTGATTGCCTCTCACAACTAGATATGAAATCATACAGTGGTTTAAAGTTGAACAATGCCATGCCATTTGTTTTCATCCTATCTTGTTCACTAGAATCTCGGCCATATAACCTCATCAAAGGTGTGCTGGCAATTTCTGATTTGTTTTCCTTCCATTTTTCAGTCAGGACTTTAGTTATAAAAGAGCATTTTGCCTGGATGCTTCTAAAGTTATGGGAGATTTTTTAGAAGGGTTTTTTGTGATACGTATCTGCTAGGTCCTATAGAGATTGTAGGTTCTGGAATGTTACAGCTAATGGCAATACTTAGCTGATTTTGAAAAAACTAATTACAGGTACTCCTCGACTTACAACCACAACTGAGCTAAGCAAAACATTTGTTAAGTGAATTTTGTTCCAGTTGTTAAGTGAATCACTGCAGTTGTTAACGTAGCAACATGGCTGTTAAGTGAATTTGGCTTTCCCATTGACTTTGCTTGTAAAACGGTTGCAAAAGGTAATCAATCACATGACCCTTAGACACTGCAACCATCATAAATATTTGAGTCAGTCGCCAAACATCCGAATCTTAATCACATGACCATGGGGATGCTGGAATGGTAATAAGTATGAAAAACAGTCAGAAGTCACTTTTTTTAGTTCCGTTGTAATTCTGAACAGTCACTAAATGAACTGTTGTAAGTTGAGGACTATCTGTACAGTCAGATGAGGTGGGAAATCACCAGGAAACTCTAGAGCTGTAAGAAGTTTTTTATTTTTTTAAAGGTAATGGCAAACTGCTTGCATAAAATCAAATCACCAACATGGATGTTTGCATTTAGAGCCCAGGAGCCAAGTTTGACTCACTAGCTCAAAAAGGTGATGCTTGTGGAATTTTGCTGGAGTATAATCCCAGCCACAAAATTATATATTGGATTATAGTTTTTTTAAATTTACAAACTGCCTCATATTCTTTGAAGTGTACAAAATAAAACACAGTACAAAACATAATATAGTAATAATAATAAATCTGTAATCAACAGTCAAGGATAATGAGAGGGAGCTTCCTTTCAAATGTGGAAGTTATACAAAGGAGGAGAGACACCACTGCAGTTTGTTGAAATGTGTCAAGGTTCTCTGTCTAAGAAAATATGCCAATATGAGTTTTCAGATTTTACTTATACTAAGTAGTAAACAGCTATCTTTGTTCTAAACCAATTATTCTTGAGCTCCACACACAGTATTCTCTCAAACTATGTTTTGAACTGAAAATGTATGGCAAGATTTTTCTTTAATATAAAACAAGCACCTACAACTATTTATAACCTTGTTCTTCATGGTCTCCAAGATATTTAGACAATTTTTAACCTGGGTTCTTTGAGACTGTTGAAAAACAAACAAGTTGATATTATACAGTTTCATATCAGACACAGTAGTTTAGACTGTAGTTCTACTACAAAGTGAATTCCTATTGAGTTCCAAGATGGAGCAGGACAACTTTGTATCATAAGATGTTTCCTCTTCAGCGTTCCCACACAGCAACTTAAAGTTGTGCAGGAGGCTGGTTTAAGTACTACAAAGTTCTCTTTTGCAAAAGTGGTATTTGTTATGCTTTGCGGAGGAAGGAGAGAAATCAGACTTCTTCAGCCCTGTCTTTTATTTATGTTCTGTATCTAAATCATTTTTTTTATTTAAAAAAAACCTGATTCTGTTGAAAAAAGAAGTCTGTTTTATATTTTGACTGTCTACATACCACTACAGATATTTCTGCGGACAGCTGTTCATTTTCTGATTGGCCTGGCAGTCACTTTATGAAAATGTTCATTGCATTTTATCTAACTGATTAATGCGCCCCAGATAAAAAAGGATGAGGTATCCCAATTTCATTGATATTAAATCAGTTGGTCTGGGAAAATATTTAACCATCTTAAACAATGTGTAATTAATGCTTGGTATCAACATTTGCTCCCTTTAAGAATTTTTCATTTTGCACTAAATCAGTATTATCTACATTTTCAAAGCAATAGTCTTTTTCTATGAAAAGCAACATCAAAAAAAAAAAAAAAAGCAGGAGCATTCTGACATTGCCAGAATGCTAGATAAGGAAGGGGTTGAGCAGAGAAACTTGAAGGTTGAGGAAGAATGAAAAGGGAGGAAATGAGGGTGAGAAGAGCAATAAAAAGCAATTTAGCCAAAGCAACATTTTTTTCTGTTTTTATCTTCTCTATTCTCATAGTTTTACAAATTAGCAAGGGTCAAGACTTGAAAACCAATTAGAAATAAGCTAGGATTATAATCTTGGCCATAATAAACATAGCACACTGGCATTTTAAAGTAAGTTTAAATCATGGCTACAGGTTGGGAAGAATTGCAAAAAAATATACAAAAAGATTTTGTTTGCGAGTCAGTAACTTCTGAAGATAAATCCATGGCTTTTTTTGAATATTTACACTAATGTTTTGAGACTGCATATGTTTTCACCCTCTTTGAATTAGCAAAGCTGATTGACATGGCTGACTAAAAACTCTATTACGGTAGGAGAAGGTTTTTGAAAATCAAAGGTGTAGAACAGCCAAAGCCCTCCAAATATCAGTTCAAGAAAAAGATACTTCTTTTAGAGGTAATAGATTAGGTTCTGCCTTGTGTGTGCAGTACTTTCCTAAGCTTCTGTAAATGTGCATTTTTAAAATCATGATTCATAGGGAAAGTAAGGACTTATTCTTATCAAAATGTTCCCAAAGAATGCAATTTGAGAAAACACTGTTTTCTGTATAAAAATATATCCATCGTATTCTATTTGTATAGTGTGTAGGTATGCAAAAGATTTCTTTTTGCTATATTTCCCTTTTGCTTTGCCAATATGTTATATACATGGACAGACCTATAGAAAGGAAATTTAAAAGATAGTGGCTAAAGTATTATGAGCACTGGTCACATTACATGAGATTTCATAAACCATTTTTACAAACTGAATCAATGTTGGAACAGAAGATCTTTTCTGTCATTCTTCCTATGGTTGACAGCCTTCAATATTTATCTAGAGAGCATTTTTACCTCTGAACTCAGAAAAAAAATCTGTCTTAATTTTTATTTAATCCAGGCAAAACACATAACTGTGGCTTAATATAGGCTAGAAAGTCTACAATTTACTTAGTTCATAATGTGAGAAGGGCCAGGGAAGCTTATTTCATTGAGATGCTTTTATCACTAACTCAGTGTTTCTCAACCTTAACAACTTTAAGATATGTGGACTTCAGCTCCTAGAATTCCACATACAGTACCTTAAAGTTGCCAAAATTGAGAAACACTGCTCTAACACTTCACCAACTGGGTTAGAGAGAAATATGAACCACTATATCTTTTGTGTAGTAGAAATTTAAATAAGTAAAAGACACTTTGTATTAAACCCTCCGTCTGCTTAGTCAAAAATAAGCTTTGGGAAAGTACTTTGAGGATGCTCATCTCTAAAGAGGTGAGCATATGTCCAAATTAAAGATAGCATGTAGAGCATTTGGAGAGGATTCCCCTTCTAGTTAAGCTAATCATTTTGCACTACATGCACCCAAGGAAAAAGTGTTTACCTGGGATGGGTACGGTTAACCTTTTTTCCTTGCTGAGACGGTGCCCATGGAAGGATTCATTCATGGAAATGGGACCCCTCAGAAGAAATGACTCTGTGGAGGTGTGATCTGGGGGGGGTCTTAATAAAGGCAGTAGATAGGTCCCTGAAGTCCTGGAATGGCTCTGATCACAAGGGGAAGGTGAGAATTGTCTTGCAGGAGATCCAAGAAAAAATACATACGGAAACAAAAGAGTTTTTACTTTAATTACTGAGCAATGACCCCCTGGAATTACACATCACCCATCACCCACCCTCCTGAAAAATCACCCAAAATATTGCTAATATCTTCTATAATTGCTGCCATCCCATAATAAAATGCTACGGGGGAGGGAGGATTTTGTATATCTGAGGAAAAAAATAGGTATTCAACTTGAGTGATCAATCAAGCCAAGTCAATACTGTGATGTCCCAGTGTATGCATTCAATACAATCTATTCTTGCTGCCATTTGTCACACTAGGACGGCATCTGCCCCTCTACCTCTTGGAGATAAGTTTTTGGATGTTGCCAGGAATCAACATAGTTCCACAGCAACATAAATTGACTACAAATCAACATCATAAATACATTGTCGTGTATGGCTTGGTGGGTCACCTGCTGTTCTTTCCTTAGAATGTAGACTTCCAAACATATTTACATGATTGTAGTTAAAAGTTACACCGAACAGAACTGTATTTACAGGGACATACTTGAAGTGGTTCTTACAGTGGTACGGCCTTTAGTAGGATAGTCAAATATGAGTTTGTCTTAGACATTCGTTCTTTCTTTGTGCTTTTTTGACACATACACTGAGAAGCACATGGGAATGAAAACCCCTCCACCCACTGAGGGAGATATATTAGCACCAAAGTTTATTAGAATGTTCCATTTTCGGTGGATGTGCTTTTTTTCAACATAGGCTCAGCCCTGCATCTGAGGTATTCAGCTCTATCTCAAACAGAGGCATTCAAGACATACAGAATATGCTGAAATGCTAAGAAAACATGAACTATGACCGTATCAAAAGGGACAAGAAAATACCATGGCGGATGGAATTAAAAGCCCATGTTTACAGTTTGAAAAGCCATTACTTCTCTTCCCCCCATCCCCAACCTCTTCTCATAAAATATATAATGTATTTGCAATTCAGTGGATGACCTTAAATCAAGTCAGGCCATTGCACTGTACTATAAATAGGACTGCATGCATACCTTTTCCTCTGAGTGCCACTGCTGACCAGTATGTTTGGTGGTTGTGGGCCCTGACTATGCAGGAGGAAAGTGTCTATGGTTGACACGGTGGCTGATGCCTCCTCACTTACTTTAGGGCTGCCGATCTTGGTTTTCCCAAGTTTGCCTTTGCTCCGCCGGGACTGCTCATGATCAAACTCTAAGTCTTCCAAGCGTTGAGTCAGGGCGAGTTTTTGCTGGATAGCCATCCGCAGCAAAGAATTTAAGGTGTTTTTCTCATCCTCTGCAGCTGCCAATTGCCTCTGCATCTCATCCAACTGGGTGACATACTCATCACACCTGGAGGGAAAGAAGGAAAGAGGAACAGGTCAAGCTGTCCTGGTCAGACTTTTTTTTCTTTTGCATACATCAGGCATGTCAAACTGCCGACCCATGGGCCGGATGCGTCACGCCGAAACCGCACCCACACCATTGCCAGCAATGGGGGGAAAAGTCCCGATACGTTGTGCGATGTCATGTGACGTTGCGAGTTTGACATGCCTGGCATACATGAACCATGTGGACATCAGCACCAACACTTTTTAAGTGGGGAGAGGGGTCCTGACAGTGAGAAGAATCAACCAATGGAACAGACTGCCTTCAGATATTGTTAGTGCTTCATCACTTCCAAGAAGAGATTGCCAGAAATGATGTAGGGACTCCTGCTTGGGCAGGGCATTGGACTAGATGACCTACAAGATCCCTTCCAACTCTGTTATTCTATTCTGTTCTATTCTAAAAGCCATTCCTCTGGGTTTCAGCAGCATCAAAGGTCCTTTGAGGCACTTCAGATTCAAGATAAAAAGGAGCTTCATAGAGGCTACAGTTGCAAACCTGGCAACTGTCAGCAATTCTTTAAAACAACTAGACCTTTCATCAGGAGTGTTGCCCCAGCTTGTTCACACCTCCACACATTCCAGAGCAGCTTTTGTTCTTTCTGGCACAGCTTTTGCCCTAATCTTACCATGGATATACTCTATCTATTCTTCTTCCAAAGCAACTGAACTAAGGATAACTTAGGGACACAAATCCATAACAGTAAGTGCTGCCTAAAGCAGAGCACTCCAGGAGACCCACTGAAAGAAAATATAGTCCTTGATTACCGATTGCCTCATTTAACAACTGTTTGAAATTATGACAGTGTAAAAAAAAAAGAAGCTTTGCAACCTTCCATTTATGACTGTCACAGCATCCTGCAGCCACATCATTGCATTGGTGTGCTTCACAACTGGCTTGCAGGAAGCAGTTAATAAAGGAGGCAGAAGTAAAATCATAAGTCGTGCTTAAGGATCTTGGTGATTAACTTAATGGTCAAAGGGACATGAGATCATAAGTCTGTTGCTGTCACATGATGCTTCACTTAGTGACCGTGGTGCTTAGCCATGGAATTGCTGATCCCAATTGCAGTCACTAAATAAGGGCTACAGATACTCTTAGTACTTTGTCATGTTGCTACCAACATGGTACTTTATATTATATATAGTGACTAATAAGAGTTTAGCCTTTTCCTCTCCCTCTGTGCCATGTATTAATATGAAAGTATTAACATTTATGAATATGAAATATTCAAGACCATCTCAAAACAGACCTTAAAGGTCAAAGAATTGTTCTGATAGACATTAGCTTCTGCAACATGTCAGAAACTACTACAATAGACAAGACACAACAAGAGGTGCTTCTCAAAACAAGAAACGGGTGTGCAAAATACTTAAAAAGATCTATTCTGAAATGCAATTCTGAAATGAAACCTAGAGGTAGTTTGCACGATTTCTATCTATCTATTTTTATTTCTATTTTTTATTTATTTCTATTATTCTGTTAGTTAAAAGCATTTTTCATGCTTTATTGCAGACATGTCAAACACAAGACCCGGGGGCCAGATGCGGCCCGCAAAGTGGTTTCATGTGGCTCACGAAGCCATCCTGGAAACAGTGAAGGAACAGCCCCGCTGCCTTGGCCCTGGCCCAGGCCGGCCGGGAGCCAATGTACAATTTTGTGGTGGCCATCTATGCTGAAATGCATTCAGTCTTAGCTCCACAAGGCCGTCTGGAAACAGCAAGGAACCAGCCCCTGCCGTGTCGGCCCCACCCCCTGGGTGCATGCTGGGAAGGTGTCACCCTTTGTGAGGAATGAAGAAATGCACCATCGCCTGGAATGGCCAGCAAATGGCCCTCACCTACTTCACATATCCGGCTTGATGGGCTCTGCCCTGGTCCCACCCCTTTCTGCCAGAGACCCTCAGATCTGTCCCACTCCTGCCCAGGCCCCCACAGGCCCCCTTAACACGAATGATGTAGAGCTGGCCATGCCCACCCAGTAGGCCACACCCACTCTATCCACACACCCCCAGTAGGCTGCACCCACCCTGCCCCCCCCAGGGCGACCACAATGCTGATGCGGCCCTCAATGAAATTGAGTTTGACACCCCTGTTTTATTGTATTCATAGACCAGCTAGCTACTGAGCACTCTCCTTTTGTTTGCTTTTGCTGCGACTATATTTCTTACTTTGAAAGTGACTTCTGCTGCTACATTTACATGGGCTGTTTTCAGGGTAGGAAGATGACTATTTCTTTTTTTTAAAAAATTACCTTGATGCTTGATGTAATGATCATTTACAAATTGAAACAGAAATTATCCATGATACCAAAGCAGCATTTTTCCAGAGAATCAAATACTGGGTTATTGTTTCAGTCACTGAATGAAGAATCTGTAATTTTACTGAAATTTTTTTCTGTTTGCTTACCGAAATATATATTGTGTATAAGCCAAATTTTAGAAAATCACATTATGCTACATTTAAGTGGAGTCTGACCCCATTATTTATCAACGGCTCAGATTTAATTCTACAAATGTTTTAATGGCTAATTTAAGCAAGAGGTTATAAAATAAAACCAATGGGAAATAAGGTACTTTTGTACATGCAACATACAGAATCAACAGATTTTGGAAAATTGTATTAAATAGTATAAGTGAAAGATTTCTTCTAGAAGCTTAATCTACCTTTTTTATTACTTCCCTTCACTAAAAGCAAAGTGTAGGGACTTCTTTTATGACCTGCCACATGGTGTTTGTAAAGCTTGTTTAAAGTTAACAATGAACCAAGAAAAGAAATAACAATATTTTTTTTAAAAAAAATTACTTGTTTAATTTGATAAAGTATCAGGTTAAAAAAAAGTTGACATTTTAGAGGATTTTTAAAAAGTCATCTGCTTTGTCTTCCTTCTAAACTACAAAATCCTAAAATTTAAATATTGTTTGTATGCACCTATCTGTGTGTTTACAACTTCCCCTATTCAAAGTGGGAGAATGTTAGATTAGAATAACCATCAGCTTAATTGGTTCCCACAGGCTAAGTATTCTGCATAATAAAGTGTTCTCACACAGGGACAGTCAGATTCCTTTGTACTTTTATCTGTCTTCCTTATCAGGGCTAAAATAATTATTGGTCAATGGTGAAATGTGTAGTATGCTAAACGTAAATCTCTACAACTCTTTATAAGAGTTTGATTGGTGTTCTTCTCTCTTGATAGCTGGAGAACAGAGACTCATTGTAACTTGTTAGCTTTAATAAAATAATTATTGGATCATTTCCAATTGCTAGTGTATTCTTAAGTGGTTTTTTCCCCATCAATATATCTTGAAGTCCAATTTCTTTTCTTATCAGCTTCACCAGTCCAGGTTATGCTCATTTTTATCCTTTTAAATAAATAAGTGTGGCCTTGGTAAGGGCACACTTGGAATACTGCATCCAGTATTGGTCACCACGATGTAAAAAAAGATGCTGAGACTCTAGAAAGAGTACAGAGAAGAGCAACAAAGATGATTAGGGGACTGGAGGCTAAAACATATAAGGAACGGTTGCTGTAATTGGGTATGTCTAGTTTAATGAAGAGAAGAACTAGGAGTGACATGATAGCAATGTTCCAATATCTCAGGGGCTGCCACAAAGAAGAGGGAGTCAAACTATCCTCCAAAGCACCTGAAGGCAGGACAAGAAGCAATGGATGGAAACTAATCAAAGAGAGAAGCAACTTAGAATTAAGAAAACATTTCCTGACAGTTAGAACAATTAATCAGTGGAACAATCTGCCTCCAGAGGTTGTGAATGCTCCAACATTGGAAGTTTTTAAGAAGAGACTGGACAGCCATTTGTCTGAAATGGTGTAGGGCAGAGGTCCCCAACCTTTTGGGCACCAGGAACCATTATGTGGAGAGAGGTTTTTCCACAGACCGGAGGGGGCTTGGTTTCGTGTGCTGCCTGCATCCCACAAATGGGGCTTTGCTTTTTTTGTGTGGCCTGGTTGCTTGCATGCTGCGGCCCGGTACCAGTCCATGGACCGGTGGTTGGGGATCCCTGGTATAGAGTTCATCATCATCATCATCATCATCATCATCATCTTCATCATCATCATCATCATCATCTTAACAATTCTATTATTTTTTTACAAAAAGAACAATAGGAGGGAAAGGAATCATGCTTACTGACTTTACTGTAACTTCACAAATTAATACTATGAACAGATCAGAATCTCATGGACAAATTATTTAGGGATGCAGATATATAGAGCTAATACATAATTAGGAACTGATTGTTCTGGAGAATTTTTCTGCAGATAAAGTTAAAATCAACTCTTGCCTGAACCCCTGGAGAATAGTTGGCTGAGACAATGGCTTGAATATAAAACAGGAATATAAAACAGCTCATAAACATGTCCTAGAAAAACTGCTCCCATGGAATGGTATTGCATACACAGAGAGCACCCCTAATTCCAGTGCCTTTTCCCTCCATCTTGTTGTCCAGGATTCTGATGTCCAAGGATTGTATGTTTTATGGGAGGACCCACCTTTGTTCAGATCTGAATAAAAGTGTGACTCAGAGACTGGTCTTTGCCTCTTTTTCCGCGCCAAGCCAAACCTAAACTCCTGCTTAACAAGCTAAATTCCTGTTTTGACAGTTACTTTTTGTACCTGGTTGCAAACATGGCTCTCAAGGATGAGAAGGTTGCTGCATCTTCTTTCAAAGCTTTTAATTCGTTGCGCAGTTTAGTCATCGTTTCTGTTACCATGGCTTTCTCGTTCTCGTATTTATTTTTCAGGTTGGCCAGGGCCACTTCTGCTGTCTAAAACAAATATACATATCTTATGTCACCAAGCAAAGAATAAAAGCTTGCTGTTGAAATCATTCTGGATTCTTCCAGGTTTATGCATTTATTATAAAACATATGCATTTATTTTCATCTGGTTGATACAAGTACGGGATTAAATTCAAAGGATAACTTGGAATTTTCTTCTTGGCTGAAAAGAAAGGTAAATCTATAATAACTAAGCATAATGTGCCTAAAAGGAACAAAGAAGGCTTCCTCAACTGAATAATATAGAACTGTGTTTTTCAAACTTGACAACCTTAAGATGTATGGACTTCAACTCAGTGGTGGGATTCAAATATGTGAACAACCAGTTCTCTTTGTGGATGCCACTTTCGGAAGTCCGTTCTGGGCCTGGGTAATAAAAAATTAGCTACCGGTTCTGTCGAACTGGTGCGAACTGGCTAAATCCACCACTGCTTCAACTCCCAGAATACCTCAGCATACTGGGTAAGGAATGCTGGGAGTGGAAACTCACACATCTTAAAGTTGTCAAGTTTGAAAAACACTGATTTAGAAGGAGACAAATGTCGAGAAAATCCCTTTCTTTTCTTCTCCATTAAGAGATTAAAAGGTTGGGAGGGAAAATAAAGTTTAGGAATTTCAAATAGAAGAACCTTTTTAGAAACATGAGATTACAGTAGAAGATTTTAAGAAAATATTTTATGTATTGGAATGGAGAATTTGAAGGATATATACCAGTGGTGGCGAACCTTTTAGAGACCGAGTGCCCAAACTGCAACCCAAAACCCACTTATGTATCATCGGGTGGGCATGGCCCATTGGGTGAGCATGGCCATTGGATGGGCGTGGCTGTAGTGGTCACGGCAGACTGGGTGAGCGTGGCCAGGGTAGGCGTGGCCACCTCAATGTTACTCGTGGGGAGGGACGCCTGTGGGGGCCAGGCAGGGTTGGAGGAGATCCAGGGGGTCTCTGGTGGGTGGGATGGTGGGCAGGAGGCTCATCCTGTGGGGTGAGGCGAGGTGAGGCAGGAGGCAGGGCAGGGGTACCATTGCCACAGGGCAAGGCAAGGCGAGGAAGGGGCCAGGGCGGCGGCTGCTGCCTGACACCATCAGCACCCACACACAGTGAGCGCATGGGGGCCAACTGTGTCCATCAACAGCCACAGTCTGCTGGCCCCTCGGTTTCAGCGCGACGTGGCTGTTTGCTGCCTCACGCATCGTACCCAAGTGGGGCAGGTTCCCCCCTCATCTGCCCATTCAGCTACAGCTTTGGTGGCTCTGTAGGCAGAGTTGCGAAGAGAACTTTGCAGCTCTGCTTACAGAGCTACCAAAGCAGCAGGTGGAGCGCCGGAGGCTCAGGGAGGGAGGGCACTGAAGTGGGCAGTCAGGCTATTGGCAAGAGCAATGCGGTTGAGCGGAAAGTGGCCTCAGAACAAGTGGGGCAGTTAAGGAAAGAAATCCTCGCTCCCCCCAGAAATTGCCTTTCTTTCCTTACCTGACTTCCAGCCCCGTGCCATTGCTCCTTCGCAATCTGCCGCCGCGTGCAAGGAAACAAAGAAAGCTTTTTTGGGGGGGGAAAGGTCAATCAATCAATTCCAATTTCTCATGAAAGGTCGCGAAGTTAGAATTGATTGAATGATTGATTCTGTTTCTCCATTCGCTTCTCAGCTTTCAACGCGTGTTTGTGGGACTATTGGTAAAAAAGTTTCATCAGACTTTCTAACTTCTTGAGATCTCACAAGAAGTTAAAGTCTGATGGAACTTTTTTTTTCCTATAGTCCCACAAAGACGGTGAAGGCTGAGAAGCGAACGGAGAAACGGAATGTAGCTGAAAGGTAGGTTAGTAAAATATGCTTGGGGAGGCAGGGGTGGGTGTGGCAACCTTACCCTGCGCGGGTATTGATGCAGGTTGCTCATGGACGGGACTGAAGGCCTAGGACTGGGGTGACAGTGCACGTACCCACAGAGAGGGCTCTGCGTGCTACCTGTGGCACGCATGCCATAGGTTCGCCACCACGGATATATACTATAGTTAAAATGAAGATGATTTTAAGTTAGCCTTCTTTCCCAACACATCAGAAGGGCACCTGGCTGGAAGTCTGATTTATGGAAACCTCTATTTATATTGTAAAAATTACACCAACATTGAATACATGATATGTGCTAATGTGCTGGGTTGAGGTATGTCCATGTAGTGGTAGCATGTATTTAGGGCTTGATAGGATTAGGACAATATTGGGTTTGTATTGGGTAATACAGGAAAAAGTCAGTTATATGCTTTCTGAAATGTTTTATCCCTTTTCAGTTCCACTCTTTTGTACCTTAAACACAGAAGTACATGACCTCTGGGGTCATAACGGCAATTGAGCCAATTTCTTGTTCTTGTTTTGACCACAGTTTTTCACATTCATTCATGTTCTTACCACAACTTTCCACACTACCGTTCCAGCACATATCATTGCAAAATGCACATACCGTTGGAAAACCAGTTCCTCAATTCCCATACTTTCTGGTTCCTTACTCTAAGGATATGAGGAAATATGTAGACGCAAATATACAAAAGCATAATGTTATATAGAAGGCCATAGTTCAAACTTTGGTTAAATCACTCTTAACAGGTACTTAATTAACAACTATTTCTGGTAGTTAGCAATCTCCTTTTTTTATCAAGGAGATACTAAACCAGATATAAACCAGATATAAAAATGAATTTTTTTTCCAGTTAATCATAGAGCAGTAGATTTGGCTGGAACATTGGTTTTTTTTCACTAAGAGATAATATATGCTATCTTTTCAATTTTAACATCCATATTTTATTTTCATATTTGAAATTAATATAATGTTCCTGAGAAATGTCTCAACAAACATCCAGGATATATTTCAAAAATCAAGTATCCATGACATATTAACAAATCAAAAAGTGTCACAATATCTCAAAATATCTAAACTATAGACCTCTAATTTCTGAAATTTAAATATGAACAATTCCATAATCAGGAACTTCATTAAATATATTGTAGGATGAAATGTCATATTCATATGCCATCCCTGCTACCCTCTCTATTCATGAAACTCACAGCCTCACCTGAAGCCAGAACATACAAGATTGCAAGGAAGAAGAAATAATGGTGCGAGAATCCCTTAAACTTATTTCAGCCAATAATTAACAGCCAGATAGGTTCAGCCAGGCTGAAACTGATAAAACTATATCGCTCACAAAGTATAGCAAACAGATGGGAAGCCCCTCCCCCTAGAGCAGCGGTTCTCAACCTGTGGGTCGCGACCCCATTTGGGGTCGCACGACCATTTCACGGGGGTCGCCAAACCACTCCGTCCGCCATTTTTTTTTTGCCCTTTTCCTTAGCTGTGCTACTCCCTGTGCTTGGCGGCAGCCTGCATGCACGAACTTTACCAAATGTGCCCTGCAGGAGGCGTGTGAAGAGCGCAG